CATACAAACATACATAGATACACACAAACATACATACATACGCGTATACATAGCTACACGCATCATTGCGGGCATGCATACATACATACGTACATACATGCATGCATACATATATACATACGTCCATACAGACTACCATGCATACATGTATACATGCACGCCTGTATACATACATACAGACATACATACGATCATACATACATACATACATGCGTGCGCCCGTGCATTTTACATTATACACACATGCGTACATGCATAAATGCATGCACACATGCATACAACTAAACAAACAAACAATCAAGCAAGTGGTTGTAACACACACACACACGCACATATATATATATATATATATATACACGTATAACCGAAAGCCTCACTCCAGAGAGCCCCTCCTCCTCCACTCTTTTTCTTCTTCCTCCTCCTCCTCCTCCTCCTCCTCCTCCTCCTCCTCCTCCTCCAGCTCCTCCTCCTCCTCCTCCTCCTCCGCCTCCTCCTCCTCCTCCTCCTCCTCCTCCTCCTCCTCCTCTCGGGAAGGCAAGGAGGAGGAGGAGGAGGAGGAAGAGGAGGAACAGGACGAGGGAGAGAGGGAGGAGGCGAACCGACGACTCAGTCTCCAGGGTCGGGTGGCGAGATCGGAGGAAAATCAGGACGAGGAGGAGGAGGATCCAGAGCAGCTCAATGGGACCCCCGGGGGTCTCGACCGCGAGGCCTCTGCTGAAACGCACCCCAGGGCGAAAAAGCCTCATGGGGGGCAGGATCCCGGGGGGGGAAGAGGAAGACGCAGCATTGCGCTGCACGCCTGATGTCTCGTGCCTCCTGCTGCGGATTGAGAAATCCACGGCAAAGCATCTCTGATAGTCGACCGAACGAAAAGCGGAAATGAGCCCCTTCTGACTGGGGGAGCAACAGGTACCGACACCGCTCCTTCACAGACCTCTCCTGAAATGCGTTCTGACCAGGATTTCGAAGGAAACCGAGCCGTGGTGACAAAGGGAAAGAGTAAAGAAAAGCTGGACCAAGAGAAAGTTGAAAACTTCATGCAAGTCGACATGGCCAGCGCTGGAGAAACTGGCAGGGGCTATGATGGGCCTGAAACGGTTGGAATGAGGTCGCAAACGGCTGAAAAAAAACAAAAGGGAACATGGCCAAGGCTGGAAATATTTGAAGGTCTGGCCCCGGCCGCTTTTCCAGCTTCCCTGCTGTGCTCTAAACAAGAGCCCCTTCAAGACCCCCCGAAAAACAGTCCAGCAGTATCGGTATCGATTCTTCCCCTGACGGAGACGAGAAAGCGCCAAGGAGGGTCCGAAAGGCCTCTCAGGCCCCCCCCCCCAAAAAGTCAATGCGCGGGGCTCCCCATGTGCGCATCTAGTTGCATGGGCCTTTTCGGCCGTGGGTGTCTGGAGCAAGAGTTTTCGAGTATAAGCAGGCTTGAGTAACTATTGAAAGACTGGGGGTGAATCTAGCTGTGAATGAGTCGAAGTGTGAATGAGTCGCAATAGCACGAGTTAATATATGCGCATGAGTCTGAGCATGGCTAAGCTTAGGATGGGTGTATCTGCACGTCGGAGGCCTGATCATGACTGGGCGTGACTGACTCGGAATGGCTACGCGATCACCCCCTCCATGACGAAGCAAGGAATAAGGGTGCTCATACACACGCCGCGAAACCCTTGCGCTTCGTTGGCTGGCCCAGAAGGTCTCACGCAATGGCTGGACCGTGATACAGCCTGCCACGCGACGGAGAGGAGAGGCCCGATCTACAGGAACATGCGTAAAACACTTGGGATTGGAGCCACTCCTGTGGCCTCCTGGGGCCTCCTAGAGCTTCGCGGGGCCTCCTGGGGCATCTTGGGGCTTCCGGGAGTCTTGTGGAGCCTCCTGGTGCCTCCTGGGGTTTCCTGGGGCATCCTGGGGCGTCCTGGGGCATCCTGGTGCCTCCCATGGAATTCGCGTCCCAAGAGAGGCCCAATCGATGGGAACATACGTAAAGCACGTATGCTTTGCCAGGGGGCGCTCTATATGAACAGACGTAAAACACCAAGGATTCGACCTGAACGCAGCCGAGGCTGATCACTAAAACAAGCAAGCCGCCCGAGACATCCTCGCAGTCTGTGTCCCCTGGGGTGCGGAAACCAGCGCATCGCCCGAGACATCCTCAACATCTGCCCCGAAAGCCAGAGGATGGTGGGTTGGTAAGCAGGTAAGCCGTTCGAGACACCCCCGCAAACAGGGCGCGAAAGCATGAATGAGATGCTCCCTGGCAACCCTTTGGGGGGCGCTGAAACCAGCGCGTCGCCCGAGACATCCTCAAAATCTGCTCTGAACGCAAGCGAGCCTGGCCACCATAACAAGCAAACCGCTTGAGACATCCTCGCAATCTGCCCCCCCCCCCCCCCCCCCTGGGGTGCGAAAACCAGCGCCTCTCCAGAGACATTCTCAAAAACTGCTCCGAAAGCAGAAGATGTTGGGCATGCAAACAGACAAACCGCCTGAGACATGGCCGCAAATCTGGGCGCGAACGGAGGCGTGCAATACCGCCTGACGCCCACCCCCCCCACTGGGTGGCGAAAACCAACACCTCCCCCGAGACATACTCAAAATCTGCTCCGAAAGCAAAGGATGTTGGGCATGCACACAGGCAAACCGCTCGAGACATCCCCACAATCTGACCGCAGACGGCCCGTGACATACCCCTGCCGTCCCCACCTTGGCAAAGCTGAAACCATCGTCTCGCCTCAAACATCCTCACACTCTGTGTGCCTCATCAGTTCCGTCGTCGTCAATCATCATCATCATCATCATCATCATCATCATCATCATCATTCATCATCATCATCGTCGTCGTCGTCGTCGTCATCATCATCATCATCATCATCATCATCATCATCATCATCATCATCATCATCATCATCATCATCATCATCATCATCATCATCGGCATCATCATCATCATCATCATCATCATCATCATCCGAATCAGCATCATGATCATCATCGCCATCATCAGCATCATCATCATCATCATCATCATCATCATCATCAGCATCATCATCATCAGCATCATCATCATCAGCATCATCATCATCAGCATCATCAGCGTCAGCATCAGCATCAGCATCAGCATCAGCATCAGCATCAGCATCATCAGCATCCTCATCATCACCAGCTTCATCATCAGCATCATCATCATCATCGTCATCGTCATCATCATCATCATCACAAGCATCATCATCACCAGCTTAATCCTAATCATCAGCATCATCATCATTAGCCACATCATCATCATCATCATCATCATCATCAGCAGCAGCAGCAGCATCTTCACCAGCATCATCATCATTATCATCATCATCATCCTCATCATCATCATCGTCATCATAGTCACCATCATCATCGTCATCAGCTCCGTCATCCGCATCATCATCTGCAGCATCATCAACATCATCAGTATCAACATCATCATCCTCATCATCGTCATCGTCATCAACATCACCACAACAAATCATAGCCTACTGGGCCGTCATCTGCTCCGTCGTCATCATAATCACCACCATCATCATCATCACCATCGTCGCCGTCGTCGACATCCTCAGAATCAGCACCATCATTGTCATGATCATCATAATCATCAGCAGTATCATCATCATCATCATCATCATCATCATCATCATCATCATCATCATGATCATCATCATCATCATCATCATCATCATCATCATCATCATCATCATCAGCCTCATCATTATCTTCACCATCACCAGCAGCATCATCGTCATCATCATCGCCATTCACATCCTGCTCCTCCTCCTCCTCCCCCGAGGGGGCCAGCCTGCCGCTCACCCTGCTTCCCCCCCTGGCGGCCGACCGGGACGACCCCAGGGGGCACCCCGAGAGAACGCCCTCGGAGAGGCCCTAAATTCAGGTCGGGGATCTCCCCCCATACAGGCGGATCTTGGACGGAAAATCAAACATGCTCCAAAAATGTCCAACCGAAAACTGGAAAACTCGTCCCCAGACTATTTTCGGTATGTTTGAATATTCCTCCTGTTGAGGGGCAGGCCCGACTTGATCCGAAATCGTGCCCCTAGATTATTTGGATATTTTTGAATTCTTGCCGTCGCTCGAACGTCCATTTCCCGTGCATTTTTCGGTTTCGTGCGTATTTGTTTCGCTCGATGATCCAGGATGTTCCTCAAGGGTCCTCGCCGAGAAAAAATACACACGTCCGAGCGATAACAGGAAATTCCTCCTGAATGAGGGACGGGCCCGACTTGATCTGGAACCGTGCCAGAACACCACGGCTGGGATTTGAGCCATGCGAGTCCTCGAAGCTGCTTGGCGGCGCGCACAAGGGGGTAGGGGGAGGGGGGAAGGCTTCTTAGAAGGAGGCTGCTTCTTAGAAGGCGCCGGCCTTACATCTACACAGAAGGCCCGCGCCTTCTAAGAAGCAGGGGCGCTTCTAAGAAGCCTTCCCCCCTCCCCCTACCCCCCTCTGCGCGTGGCCAGGCTGCTGCTGCAAGCATCTAAAAGACGGCTGCGCTCGGCGCCCGAGCGAGAGGGCCGCATGCGGAAGACCACCCGACACCTCCGCCCGCGAAGCGGGGGCAAACTGTGGCAGAACGAGATGTGCGCCGCGGGCGCGGCGCCAAAGCGAGAGCCACAGCTTGAAACTCACCCACCCTCGGAGGCCTGGAAATTGGCACCAACACCAATACAAGGGGGTTTGCCTCCACAAGGGGGAAGCTGATCCTCGATTTCGGTGCTGGTGGTATGAGTTCGGTCACCCTGAAGTCGTAATATTACCACCATCACCGAGATCGGGATCCTCTCCCCTCGGTGGAGGAACACCGCCGATATTGCTGTCGGTGTCACCCTCTGGGCCTGCGACTCCCTCCATCCGTGAAACTGTTGCAGAGCTCAGGCTTCAGGATCAGAGTGGTGAACACGCCTCCGGCGAAGCACTCGGCCCGCCCTCCCAACACGCCCGGGGGGCTCGACGAGGAGGAGCTCCACTCAAAAGGGACAGGACTGGAGGATTATACACACACATACGTACATTCCTCTTCCTATATCTTTATAAGCCCGTGCGGGGGGACCCCCCCCCAAAACCGGACGTCCGGGATCTGGGGCTTTGGGACCCTCCAGACGGGCCTCCAAGCGGCACCCTGGGCCTCGAAGGGCGTGGCGCGCTCCCGAAACGACCCCAGAGAGCCCCAATACGGCCCACGACGACCCCAAAGAAGCCGTCACACCCCCAAAGATCGTCCCGAAACGTCCCAAGAGGCCTCCAAGAGCACTCCCAAGAAGGCCCCAAGAGGCAAAAATCATTGTTTTTTTGTTATGGCTCTTGGTGAATTTTGGGGTTCTCCTTTTTTCGGCTTCCCGACGCTCCAAGACGGCGGTCTTCTGGGCGTCCGGAGCCGCCTGGGAGGCTCCAAAAACGCCCCACAACCATCCGAAAGGGCTTCCAGGCAGTCCAAGAGAGCACCAAAACGGCACAACAGGGGTCCAAGATGGCTCTCAGAGAGCCCCATGGCGGTCCAAGATGGCCCCAAGACACCCTCCGAAGCATTCCAAATCGTGACCCGGTCGTTCAGGGAGACCGCGGTTGGAGGCAGGGTGGCCCGAGGAAGCCCCCAGAGGCCCCCAGAACACGCCCAGGAGGCCTCCAGAAGGCCTTTAGAAAGCCTGAAACAACTTTTGTGAGGCCCCCAGAGGCTCTCCAAGGAGGAGCCTCCGCGAAAAGAGCTGAGGAGGATGGGGAGAATGCGCAGGGCATGGCGAACACGAGGAAAAAGAAGCATTGAGGAAGGATAACGAATAACATTATTATAGCGGCATGCCAGAAAAGGCAACAAGGAGTTATCGCTAAAGTGTCGGCTTGACCTTCCTGCTAGTCCGCCTGCATACCAAACTTCAAGGACCAAGGTGCATGGCGCGAAGCGCCACTGCAGTCTTGTGTGTATATATATATATATATATATATATATATATATATATATATGTATCTGCCGCCACGCCGTTTGATCTGAACGCGCCCAGATAGAAAAAGTCGGCACCGCGGCAAACCTCACGGCACACCTTGCGTCCGAGGCGGAGTTTGCCCTGGTGTCCGAGGCGCCCTCGCCGAAACGTAAGGCCGCGCGTCGGAACAAACGGCGTGGCAACACACACACATACATATACACACACGCACACACACATACACATACCTATACATGTTCGTCATATGATATATACACACATGTCACGCGCATGCTTGGTTTCGTGCGTGCCATCTTCTTTTTGTTTGCCCGATGATTCGGGATGCTCCTCGGTGGCCCTCGCGCCGAGGAGCAGAGCACACGACCGAGCGATGCCAAGCAGCCGTGTGTGCGCGTCGTGCCCGTGCCCCGCCCGGCGGCCTGCCGCTCCCCAGCACCCACACGGCGCCGCCCCGGGCCAGCACCAGCGAGTGCCCGAAGCCGCAGCTGGCGCTCACGGCGCTGACCACCGCGCCGCGCTCCTGGCGGCCGACGGCGGCGGCGACGGCCGACGACGGCGCCCGACGGCGGCGGCGCCGAGGGGCCGCCCGGCGCCGCGGCGGCCGCGGCGGCGGCGTCTTGCGAGCGTGGGGGGTCGGGTTCTGCGGGCTCCCGGAGGCGGGGGGAGGGAGGCAGGGCCGCGGGAGAGAGGGGAGGGAGGGCAGGAGGGACGGAGGGAGGGAGGGAGGGAGGGAGGAGGAGGAGGAGGAGGAGGAGGAGGAGGAGGAGGAGGAGGAGGAGGAGGAGGAGGAGGAGGAGGAGGAGGGGAGGGGAGAGGGGAGGGGAGAAATGGGAAGGGAAGAGAAGGAGGAGGAGGAGGAGGAGGACAGAGGGTAGGAAGGAGGAGGGAGGGACGGCGCGCACCCGTGGGCGGAGGGAGGATCAAACATCGAGGATCCAAGCTCGAGGATCCATCCTGGAGGCTCGAAGATCAAGGATCGAGGCCTTGGGGCGCTGGAAGGCGGGGAGGGCCGCTTAGAAGCCGCCCACCGCAACCTCGGAAAGCCACCCCCCGCCGCTTTCCCACAAATCTTCCGCCTCTGTGCTGGTCACGTGCAGGGGGCGGCAAAAAACCAACCGGCTCTCAGAGCGGCAACGAGCGCGGGGGCGGTGGAGCAAGCTTTAGGTCGGGTATGTCCTCCCACAGGCGGATTTTGGAATCCAGATCAAGAATAGTCAGGAGATGCTCTAACATGCTCGAAAAAGCATCGAAAAATCGCCCCTGGACTATATGCGCCCGTTTCGAATATATTCCTCCTGTAGGGGGACACGTCCGACTTAGATGGGACGCACAAAGACATACTAGTACTATATGTTATCCTTGAAGGCGCGCGTCCGACCCGAACATACAGTATACCCATCTTGTAGTATATCGGTTCCCGAGCGGTGTGGCCAAAAAGCGCCCGCCGCGACGCAGATACGATAAGATGTCTCGGTGCGCGCGTCGCCCCTGGGGGGGGACGCACATATATTATAAGTATATTGGGTGACGCGGACTTAGAGCACGCTGGCGGAGATCGGGGACGAGTGATTTGAGCAAGGACCGATCGTCCTGGCATTCCAATAGTCCTACCACGGAATGTTCTTAAAACAATGTTCTTAGAACATAAACCCGATGTGATAGAAAAAAGTCCCTGCCAGAAATAGTATAAGAACATTTCGTGGGAACCGCACAAGGTTCTTAGAACATTGTTTGGTAGGGCTATAGGCACGCCAGGAATCTTCGGGAACGGCGCGAGCAGACGTGGAAGGGGGCGACGTCGGGGAGGGAGGGGAGGAGGGGGAGACGGAGCGGGGGAGCAGGAGGAGACGCAGAAGAGGACACGCCGGGTGGGAACGGCACGAGCAGACGTGGAAAGGGGGGCGGGGTCGGGGGCAAGAACGGGGATGGGCACCAGGGCACGGGGACGGAGGCACCAGCACCGAAGGACGAGGGGCAAGGACGCCAGGAAGTGGACGCAGGATCCCGGAACTCCCCCGTCGCGACGTGTTCGGAAACATGGGCGCTCCCTGGAGGTCTCCACTCCTCCTCCTCCTCCTCCTCCTCCTCCTCCTCCTCCTCCTCCTCCTCCTCCTCCTCTTCCTCCTCCTCCCTCCTTCCCCCGGACCGTCTTGTCCCGAGTCGCTTCTGGGCGGCCCTGGGGGGGACCTGTGCACGCCCCCGGGGGACGAAAAGATCCCAAACCCGCCTTCGGGCCACACCTCGGGCCTCCGGCGGCCGATGGGGACGACCTGGGCACTCACGGGACGCTCTCGGCGAGGTACAGGTGCTGGAGAGCCCCCCGAGGCGCGAAAGCCTGGAGGATCCAACGAAAACGTCCGCAACGCCCCGAGGACCCAGGAGGAGGACGACGGCGAGCGGGACCCGAGCGGGATCCGCACGTATACGCACCAGGGTATCCGGGCCTTCGCCCGATACTGAGGGTGGAGCGTGTCACGCTCGCGAACCTGCCCCGAAGAGTGGCCACTACACCGTGCAGGGTGGCGACTGCGAACATAGAGTTTCATGGGCATGCTTCTGGCCCCGACCTAGAAGGCGTTTGCTGAAGACTCAATCAATTGTAACTTTCCGGGCATCCCCCCCCCGTGCGCCTCACGTCTCATTGCACGGGCCTTGCAGACGTGCTGCAGCGGATTCCTGCGTGGATGTCTGCGTGGTTGTTTGCCCGAAGCGGCGAGCGAAAAACGAAGTGAATTTCGCGTGGACTCTGGTCTAGTCTTTCTCGCCCCCCAACAAAATCGCACAAAATTCACCTCGAAATCTGGAATGACATTCTCCAGGACACTCCGGGCCCACCTTATCGTTTTCCGAACGAAAGCCGCTCTGCGATGATGGCGCCACGATACTTCATACAGCCCTGGCCCGAGAAGTCGCTGAGCCCAAACTTGCATGAAGTCCGAACTTCCGTCTGGGCCGCGCCACGCCCCCCCCCCCCCTCCCGCTCCGTGAAAGGAAACTTACCAGAGCCGCCCCACCCCCCCAACAAAAATCACTTCGAAGGAAACGCACGAAACAAAAACGAAAGGAACCCTGGACCCCATCGTCCTGCCACATTTTTCAAGCCGGATAGCTGAGGGTCACTGGGCCCGAAACCAAGCAAAATCGCACGCTGTAAAAAAATGCAACTCCAGGATCCCCAGACCCCTGAGGTCATGTTTTTTTCCTAACGTGGACCCCCAGAGGCCTGAACCCCATCCCAGGCACCGGCTCTTCATCCCGAGTCATTTTGTTGAGGACCCCGAGGCACGGTAATGATCCCCAGAGGCCGAAACCTGACCTGTGGCAAACCGCCCGTCATGAATTTTGAGTGACCCGAGGGGGTCTGGGTCTCAGGTTATCTTGCTCCCGTCGTTCTTGAGGACCACGTCCCAGAAATAATGTCGAGCACCTAGGAGGATATCGAAACGGTGTCGAACGAGTATATCGGCTCCTCAGGCCCGACGCGCGAAAACCCTCCAGTGTTCGGTACTTTCCTGGTGCTCGAAATTCTGTCTGGTGGTCAAGGCCAAAGTTGAGCATCGTTTAACCGATCCCCATCCCCGCCAGCGTGGCCTGGGCCCCACTGGCCGATTTACCCCCCTGGATGGGGGATATTGGCTGCTCTCCACGAGTTTCGAGGAGCATATCCCCAACTGAGGTGGTGAGACGGTGGGGTCGAGATGTGGATGGGGATGGTGATAGGGATCTGTTGTACGATACTGACAAGTGTCATTGCACCGGCCTTGCAGACGTGCTGCAGCGGATTTCTGCGTGGTTCTGCGTGGATTTTGCCAGAACCGGCGAGCGAAAAACGGAATGAATTTCGCGTGGATTCTTGTTTAGTCTTCATTCCTGGCCAAACGAAACCGCACGGAATTCACTGCGAAATCCAAAACGAAGTTCTCCAGGAGGCTCCGGGCTCACCCTATCGTTTTCCGAACGAAATCCGCTCTGCGATGTTGGCGCCATGACCCTGACTGACAAGTATTGGAGGCCTGGAAATGGACACCAACACCAACACAGGGGGTTGCCTCCAACAGGGGAAGACGATCCTAGATCTCGGTGCTGGTGGTAATCTTCCGGCCGCCTGGGAAGCCAGAATATGAGCACCGTCACCGAGATCAGGACAGTCTTCCCTCGGTGGAGGCACACCGCCGATATTGGTGGTGGTGTCCAACCTCTGGGCCTCCTCCTCCTCCTCCTCCTCCTCCTCCTCCTCTTCATCCCCCTCCTCCTCGTACTCCACCTCCTTCCCCCCTCCAACTTGTGGTGGTGGTGGTGGAAAACAGGCCCATCAAAGTAGGTTGGAGCACAAGCCTCAGGGTCTGGCCCCCGAGCCAAGGCGCCTCCGAGAGCAGCACCGGGGCGGCCACTGGCCGGTCCGCCGCCTCGCCGGCCCCCAGCTGCCCCTGCCTGAGGGGCAACGTTCGGGGGCGCTGGCTCAGGGGGGGATGCCCTCCTTAGGGGGAAAACAAACCTACCTCGCTTTTGACCACCCTCGCTTCCAAGAGATACCAAACGATGCCAAATTGCAGCCTGTACTGGTCAGGCCGCTTGACGAGGAGGCGCGTGGTATGGCTTGGTTTTGCCTGGAAGCGAAAGCGGGGTAGGTAATTCACGCTCTGACTCCTACACTTTGCGGGGGGAAGAAAAAGGGTGGAGGGAGGGGCGAGGGCTGCTTAGAAGGAGGCTGCTTCTCAGAAGGCGCCGGCTTTGCATCTGCAGATGAGGCCCGCGCATTCTAAGAAGCAGGGGTGCTTCTAAGAAGCCCCCCCCCTGCCCCACCTTTTGCGCGTGGCCCATACAGGCGGGTTGTGGAAGAAAAGTAACAAATAATCAAACAATATCCAGAACAAATGTCAAAAACACTCGAACACAGTCGTCCCCATAGCATATTTTGATGGACTGTTTTTCAATACTCCCCCCTGTGGAGGGACATGCCCGACTTAAAGCGACTTTCGGGGGGGCTGGCTCGGGGGGGGGGGAATCCAGCTGGAATCGGCGATACATCGCCGACGCATCGGCGCGTCAGGCCCCCGATAGCGCCACCGCACGCTCTTGGGCGGGGTGAGCTACTTCGGGCGCCCATGTCGGCGATGACCGGGCGATTGGGGAACGATGTATCATTCCCCCTATGAGATTAGGTTGGGCATGTCCCCCTACAGGCGGGTTTGGACGAACAAAAAAAAAACTCAAAGCACATTCAACAATAGCAAGACATAGTCCAAAAATCCTATCCAAACTATTTTTGGACTATTTTTGAATAGTCCTCCTGTAGAGGGACAAGCCCGACTTAACCATAACTCTTGGCTCCGGCGGCCGTTCGGGACGATCCTGGCACCCCCGGAACGCTCCCTGCGAGGCGCAGCTGCCGGAGAGCATCCGAGGCTGGAACCTCCAAGAATCGACGAGGACTCCCAAATATCAAATCTGGACATCGTTGGAGATCTGGGGTCGGCCTCGCCGCCAATCCTCTTCCCCCGCCCGAGCACATCCCCCAACGTCGCCCCGGACTGCCGGTTGCTGCCGCAGCCGAGCAGCCGGCCGGCGTCGGTGAGCAGCAGCGTGTGCGCTCCGCCGCAGCTGGCGCCCAGCGCGAGGCAGCCGCGCGGCAGCGGCAGCGGCGTGGGTTCCCTCTGGCAGTCGAAGTGGCCGCTCCCGAGCTGGCCTCCCACAGGGGAAGGCTTCGGGATGCACACGGACAGCCCCTCAGGCACGGTGAGATCATGGAATAAAGAACCCTTGGATAAAGAATCCAAGGCCTGAAAGCCAGCGGGACACCGATTGAGGCTTGGCAATGGATATCACCCCCGCCGTCATCAGCCAAGGAGACCCCCAAGGTCTGAAGCCTCCGGGGCACATTCCTGAACAAACGCCACCACCCTAACCCTGGCTGGCCTGAACCCCCCGAACAGTCCGGGGCGTTCTCAACAGCCCAACCATAGGATTAGGTCGGGCATGTCCCCCTGCAGGCGGCTTCTGGGCGAAAAATGAACAATCGTCCAACAATATGCCAAAATGGGCAAACCTATGTTCTGGTTTTGATATACAACAGATTCGTCCCCAGACGATTGCTTGACCATTTTTGAATATAGAGGGATACCCCCGAATGAAAACAAATCGATCCCAAAGTGGGCAAACCTATCTCTGTGGTTTTAGGTGAAATTTCGTCCCCAGACGATTTGTTGACTGGTTTTGAATATAGAGGGATACCCCCGACTTGAAACAGATAGATTCCAAAGTGGGCAAACCTATCTTTGTGGCTTCAAGTAAAAAATCGTCCCCAGACGATTTGTTGACTAGTTCTGAATATAGGATGGGCATGTCCCCCTGCCGGCGGATCCTGGGCGAAAAATGAGAAAGCGTCCAACAATATCCCAAAATAGTCAAGACATCGTCCCCAGACGAGTTGTTTGACTAGTTTTGACTCTCGAGGGACACGCCCGACTCCACCGCAGGGCGCGGAGCGCCCCAGGGGGCGCCGCCCGCGGGCGCCCGAGACCGGCCCCCGGGCTGCTCCCGGGGGGGTGGGCTGCTCGGGCCGGCCGGGGCCACCCGGGGAGGGAGAGGTCTGGGCGGAGGTCGGGTCGGTCCCCCTACAGGCGGAGTTTGGGGCGAAAGATTTTTTTTTTAAAAAAAAAAAAAAAAAAAAAAAAAAAAAAAAAAAAAAAAAAAAAAAAAAAAAAAAAAAAAAAAAAAAAAAAAAAAAAAAAAAAAAATCACTCAAGAATAGCAAGAAATGGTCTAAACATCCTATCCAGACTGCTTTGGGACGATTTTTGAATATTCCTCCTGTAGAGGGACAAGCCCGACTTAATCATAGCTCGGGGCTCCGGCGGCCGTTCGGGCGGGTTTTGGGGGGAAAGAATATTCACATGCTCAAGAAATATACTCCAGACTATAGTCAAACAAGAGTGCTCCAGACATCGTCCCCAGACTGCGGTCTGACTCTTTGTGAGCCTTCCTCCTGTGGAGGGACAGGCCCGACCAACGTCTGGGCGCGGCCCGGAGCCGCATCGGTCGCAGACATCCGACGTCCAAGGGCGCGATGTGCTGCTCGGCCTCTGCGGGAGGGCCGGCTGTCGGACCCCAGGGCCAGCAAGGGTGGCCTTAAGGGAAGGGTGGGGACATCTCGTCGGCGCCGCGCCCAAGGGGCAGGGCAGAGGGGGCGGGCCTTGCGGTGCGGGCGCGGCCGCAGGAAAGCCTCGCAAGAAACCCAACCCTGAGAAACCGCACGCGAGGTGCACCGCGGAGGGGAAACCCGGAGCACCCTGAACGCAGCAGCTCCTTCAACGGCCGCGAGAAGTCGCCGCGCAGCGCGAGGAGCAAAGACACCGAGCCGAAAAGCACATTGTTTCTGGATGCGCGCCCCCACTGTATCTCGGCGGCGGACAAACCTCCCTTTAGTAAACCTCCCCTCAGTGAAAACGGCCTGGGACCGAAACCGACGGACCTGGACCCGCAAAAAGGACGGCCGCGACGCCCTCCCGCGAACCGAAAACGGCCGATTAGCTAATCGACGTGTCAAAGTAGGATTTGGACGCCCGAAATGGGTACGGAAAGAATGGGCACAATGCCCAACAATACATGTTGTCCCAAACCGACAGCGGCCGCTGTTGGGCAGGCGGCCTTCTGTCTCAAATGGACACAGGCCGCGGCGGCGCGGACAGCGAGCCCTGTCCAAAATGAACAGGAACTGCTGTTGGGCATTGTACCCATCCCAGACCCCCGACGTCATGATTTTTTCATTACGTCGACCCCCAGAGGTCCCGACCCTTTCCCCATGACCGGCTTTGCATCCTGAGCCGTTTTTTGACGCTCCCGAGGCCCGGTGAGGGCCCCCGGAGGCCGAAAATTAGGAAAAACCTCCCGTCATGATTATTTCATTACTCGAGGGGGTCTGGGATTCTCGGGCGTCCAGATAGGAGGTCTATCCACCTCCGATGACCTCAGACGGCCGAGAAGGCCTCTGGCCTCCTGAGCAGCTGCCTGGGCCCTGCTCCGAGGACAGAGGTGGGGGGCAACGAATGGGCCTAACGAGGAGGAGGAGGCGGAGGGGGAGGCGGAGGAGGAGGAGGAGGAGGACGACGACGAAAGTAGGAGGAGAAAGAGGACGTGAAGGAGAAAGGGGAGGAAGGAGAAGGGAGGAGGAGGAAGAAGAGGTGGAGGAGGAGGAGTAGGAGGAAGGGATTGGAATGTTCACGAGATCCGTTACACAAAAAATGCAACCCCGCGAAACATCACGACTGGAACCCTAGACCCAATTGTTCTGCCGCATGTTTCGTGCCGGATCGATCCATGAGGGTCCGGGGGCCCGGTAACAAGGCGAAATCGCCCTACGTGGAAAATTGCAGCGCCAGGATCTCAGGCTCCGTAGTGATGATTTCGCAATGCGAGGAGGTCTGGGAAGATGTTCCCTCTCCCGATGGCCGTGGGAGTTCTCGCCAAAGCCGAGCGCACGCCCGGCGCTGTCGACAACCACCGAATGGTCGGCGCCGCAGGCGACGAAGCGGATGCGCAGATCCGCGCGCATCGTGCACTGCGGCGCCGCCACCCTGTCGCAGCCCTCGCAGGGGAAGGAGAAAGGCAGTAAGCCTGAGACCCAGGCGCTGCACTTGTCTCGCACCAGGCGGTGTCGCCCCGTTCCTGGCCCCAGGAGCAATCCCGCTCGAAAAATACACCAGAAAGATGGGGTCTAGGGCTCTAGCTGTGATTTTCGCGATTGGGATCTGAATGAAAAAGCCAGTAACCCACACCCCGCGCGTCTTTTCACAAAAAACATTATTGGGCAAACCAGAAGGTACCGATACCGCTAGTCCCTGGACCGCTCTGGGGGCGGGTTCTGACCAAGATTTCGAGGCGAATCCAGCGGTGGCGACGGGGGCCTCCCAGGAGGCCCACAAGGGGGAAAAAGGGGGAAGGGTAGCGGTTTGGGTACCTTTTCCCTCTCTGAATGACGGAGTGGTTTCATGGTTTTCGGCCTCTGGAGGCCCTCACAGGAGTGCCGGGAGCATTGAAAAACGGCTCGGGGATGAGAAACGAAAACAGCTCCTTGGAAGGGATCCAGACCCCGAGGGGCGCTTGTCACAGAAAAATGGCATTGGGTGTCTGTAGGGAGGCCCAGGGACACACAAACACATAGACACTAATCCCAGGATGCTCCAAATTTGTCTATATTTTCTGGATCCTCGTCTTCCCCCCACCTCCCATATTTCTGCATATTCTCCCGGGGATCGACGACTCTCTTTGTGTCTGTGTGTGTGTCCCCCTCCTGGGTTGGGCCTGGGAGGCGCAGACCTTCGGAGGCCCGCTTGACCACCGCCGTGAGAAATGGGATCCGCCGGTTTGCCATCGGATGGCCTCTCGAACTCGCCTTCCTCGCCACTGCCCCTCCTCTTTGGGACGTGTAGTCATCGGCCTGACCTAAGGAACGAGAAATAAGGGAAGCCCCTTTTTTATCCCAAGGAATAACGCATAAGGAACGACAAATCATGGAGAACGCATAAGGAACTGTAAAAATAACGCATGTAAAACCTAAGGAACGACCGAGCCCCTTTTGAAAAGCAAGTGTTCCTTATTCAAGCCGCTCACTGTAGTCCTCGGACGGCCTTCCATGGTCTCGCACTTCGCTCATCTGCTAGCCGATGTCGCCGAAGAAACTACAGTCGGACTCGGTTGGACAGGGCACGCGAGAGGACACAAGACCCTTCCGAGGGCCACGCTGCCACAGGAATGCAAGAAGCACGGGTCGCGAGACACAGGACACACGGGCACCCTTGACTTGGCAGGGTCGACCAACCAATCCGGGCCGACTGCAAACCAACACAAACTTCTTTGTTTTTGCCCCACACTTCTCACTCGGCGTAAACCAACACAAACTCGGGGATGGACAGACCCCCCTTTTAGCAAAGCGTAGTTTATTGAAAACGACCTGAGGCCCAAACCTGGCGGGCGCAAGCTTGGAAAATAACGGCCACGGCGCCCTCTCGAGAGAACCGAAAACCAGCCTTGCCGTCGTTCGGACGTCCATTTCCCGCGCATGCTTCGATGTCACGCGTGTTTTTCTTGGGCGCGATGGTCCAGGATGGTCCTCAAGGGTCCTCCCCGAGAAAAAAAAAAAATGCACACGTCCGAGCGATGCCAGGTAAACCAACGCAACCGTTAACTCTGGGAGGTCCGCGCGGACGTCACGGACGGGCGCCGACCCCCCCCCCATCTCCTGCGCGCGAGAATGCGCGCGCCGCGGGCGGGGCGCCCGAGAGGCGACGCCACGGCGAGCGGGTCTGGCGCAGCTGCGGGCAGCCCGCGAGGCCCCCCCGAAGTCGACGCTCTTAAGTCGGGCGTGTCCCCCCTGGAGGAGGGTTTGAGCGAGAAAAAAATACTCGAAAATGACCCCCCCTCATACTCAAAAGTAGTCAAAAAGAATAGTCCCCAGACTATGTTTGACTCTGTTTTGGAGCATTCCCCCCGTAGAGGGGCACGCCCGACTTGAGTCTACGCATATGTCCTTCGGGCTTCTCCCCTGAGATTCGACGACCTGAACACCGGACATCACTAGTGCGTGACGCTTCTCGAGGCGGCTCGATTTGCGAGGGCCCGGCGAGGCCGAGACCTGGGCGAAGACGCCCAACAAAAAAAGTGTCTCAGGGGCCAGCCCCGAGGAACGAAAACTGGAGGCCCATCCTGAACCCAGAATGGCCCTTCTTTCAGCGTCTTGGCGTGGCCCTGGCACCCGCCATCTTGACTGCTTCCATGCAGCACCCCTGGAACTCCCGAGCAGTTGCAGGGCCAGCTTCTGCTCTGGATCGTTGCTTGGCGGCCCCGGGGCACGGACAAAAAAGGCCCCAAGAGGCCGAACACTACGAAAAACCTCGATCTTGAATGCTTCCAAACCTTAGGCGTCCAGGTCTGTGCTTCCCTTCGGCCTCTGGCAGCGGCGTGCCCAGCTGCCCCTCCGTCCCGCGCCCGCAAGCCCACACCTTGGGCGGCGTCGGGTTGACTACCTACCAGACCACCCCAACCCAACCCGAAGACCCGAATTTCGGGTTGGGGGGGTGCGGGTTTCATATTTGTTTTTTCAATGTTCCTAGACCACCCCCCCCACTGGAAATAAATGGCAAATTGAAGCCTTCGGGTTGGGTTGGGGTGATTTGGTGGGTGGTAACAGGTGGACCACCACAGGCAGGCACCACTGACCCTGGCCCGGACCCGTCCCAGGCCCGGGATCGGCGCACTGGTTTGCCCAAGGAGACGTACGCAGGACCAGAACAGCCCTGACAACCCTGACATCGAGAAAGAAATGGTTCGCACATCGGCGGTGGACGAACCTCCCTTTAGTAAACATCCCCTTAGTGAAAATAACCTGTGACCGAAACCGACGGGCCTGGACCCGCAAAAATGACGGCCGCGACGCCCTCTCGCGAACCGAAGACGGCCAATTCCTGAATCGACGTGTCAGGGTAGGAGGTCTATCCACCTCCGAGTACAGCTTTCGACCTCTGGCGGCCCCTGCCGTGCCCAATGACGGTTACAAAACGGCCAACGACGAAAACCCGGCCGCAGGAAAAGGCCCCAGGAAAGGGTAGAAAATCCACCCCCAGAATAATCACCCCGACATGCGAAGTCGTTTAGTAAACGCACCCGAGGAAGGAATCGAACAGGGCAAGGCTGTTAGTGAACGCCCAGGGCAGTTTAGTATACGCCAATTGTCCAGTGCAGGTGTTTTTTCCTCCCTTGATTCACAGCGAAGTCTGGGGAGGATCGGCCCGGGCCAGGATCGGTGATGACGTGGCCAGCCGACGCAGCTCGAGAGCACCTCACCGTCCGCAGCCAGCACCAGGGAGTGGTCCTGGAGGCCTCCCGAGTGGGGTCCGCACCGGTGGGGTCGGAGCATCGCACCGCTGCGGATGCATCGGCGGTGCGTCGGCGATACATCGGCGACGTCGGCGTGGAGAAATTCGGGCTCCACATCGAGCCGCATTGGCCATGCATCGGCGACGTCGGCGATGCATTGGCGACGTCGGCGTGGAGAAAGCCGGGCTCCCCATCCGCTCGGACCCCATCTGGGAGGCCTGGGGTAATGAAGACCGACGCAGGCTGAGTCCTCTCGGCGGCGCTGAATGGGGTAAGCACGCAGCCGCACCGCCGATGCATCGGCGATCCGTCAGGGGCAACGTGGGGGGGGGAAAGGCTCAGGGGGGAGGGTGCATAAATCCCCAATCGCCCATTCATCGCAGACAGGGGCCCGATAGCCCATCCCGCCCTGGGAGTTGCGGATCTGCTCTCGGGGGCATGTCGCCGACCTAATGGTGATGTATCGCCGATTCAAGCTCGATGTTTCCTCTCCTGAGCCGGTCCCCCCCTACCGTTGCCCCTGAGTGCGGCGCGATCCGCTGGCCCCGTCCACGCAAACCCCGCTCTTGCCATCGCTCAGACGTCCATTCCCCGTGCATCGTTCGGCTTCGTGCGTTTACAATGGGTTGCTCGACCATAAGAAACCTGCCGCAAGAAACCCAACCCTGAGACCCCAGGTCGTCCATCGATTTTTGCTGTAGGAGCGCCGCCACGGTTCCCACAGCAAAACCATCGAAACCCAAGAAACCCAGGGCACCCTGGAGGCAGGCAGGGTGTTCCTTGGCATGTGTTCCCACTGTACTTACTCGCAGCATTGATATAAGCAAAAAAGATCTCCTGACCCTTTGAGAGGGGGCCAAAGTTAGGAGGGCCAAACCAATTGGGGGTGGGGGGTCTTTCTGCAGATGTATCAGACCAAACCGCCCAAGTTGATGATTCCCAACGCAAAGACGGGAACCTCAGTGAGGCCACGTCTTCATCATGTAATGATCGGAAAACAAGCAATGGCATAAAGACATAAACAAAACATAGTCCGAGGTCCTTGAGGATTTCTCGGATCTGCTCTGGACCACCCTCCCTGGCGCGCGGAGCCCGCCAGGGGGGGCCCAGCGCAGATCCGAGAAATCCGCGCATATTAGGGTCAGGGGCTCCTTCCTTCTCGATGAGAGATGATCCAATACGTACGTCGATGGCGGAGGAGGAGGAGGAGCAGGAAAAGGGAGGGGAGAGAGGAGGCGAGAAGAGGAGGGACGAGGAGGGAGGAGAAGGAGGAGGAGGAGGAGGAGGAGGACGAGGAGGAGGAGGAAGGAGGGGAAGGGACGAGGAGGAGGAGGAGGAGGAGGAGGAGGAGGGAGTAGGAGGGAGGAGGAGGAGGAGGAGGAGGAGGAGGAGGAGGAGGAGGAGGAGGAGGCAGCAGCCCACGCCGCGAGGCAGTGCGCACGTCCGAGCGATGCTGAGATCGTGGGAGGCCCCTGGAGCTCCGCGCCGCAGGCCGCCAACACCGCGCGGGGCACGGGCACCCGCGCCGGCCGCGACGCGTCGCGGCAGCCGTTGCAGCCGAGCTGCCCGTGCGAGTTGCGCCCAAAGGCCCACACCTGAGGGGGCAACGACACAGAGATCCAACGCATTGAAACAATCAGGACGGAGGTTTTTCGCAGAATTCGGCCCGCAGTGGCCCTCGCGGGGCCTCGGGACCGTCAAACAACGACTCAGGATGAAAAACCGGCCCTCGGGAATGGGTCGAGACTTCCGGGGAACCCGTATTGAAAGAGTCACGACTTCGGATCTCAGGGGATGGGCCCAGACCCCCTCGAGGAGAGAAACGAACATCGCGACGGTCACCGGCTTCGGCCGCCGGGGGCCCTTCCCGGTCCTCGGGGCGTCAGAAAACGACTCGGGATGAAAAACCGGTCCCGGGAAAGTGGTCGAGACCTCTGGGGGTCGACGTTACGGAGAAAAAAAAAATTACGTCGGGGGTCTGGGGGGGGGGGCTGGCATACAGTCAAAACCAGTCCATAAGAGACCCATCGCAATAAACACAGCCCTGAAAATCGCCGGCGTGTTTCTTGGGCCAGGGTTGGGTTTCTCGCACAGCGGATGCCAGCGAAGAAACTCAGGGTACCCTGGAGGGTACCTTGGCAGAACGACAGGGGTTTCTTGGCCATGGGCTCCCACTGTAGGGGGAGCGCTCAGTGGGCTCAGGGGGCTTTGTCTTACCGGTTCCGTTCCGCCGGTTTTGCTGCCGGCTCCGTCTTGCCGTTTGCTTGGGCCGGTTCCGTAGCCGTGTTTTTGTCCCAGTTCCGGTGCCAGCGCTAATCCCGAAGCCGTTTCTGTTGCCGTTTCTGGTCGCCGCCTTTCACCGTTGCCATCTTCAAGAGACACTGTTTCAAAGACGGTGGCAACACAATGGCACTGCCGTGTCCACCTCAGGGGGGGGGGGGCAGCCGTTTCCGGGGCCCCCGAAGAGGGGGGCACAAGTCGGCCTGGAATCGGCGATGCATTGCCGATGGATCGGCGATAGGCCTCTGATAAGGAACCCGCGCGTTCCTGGGCAGGTGGGGCCATCAGGCCCCTACCGGCGATCAGTGGGCGATTGGGGGTCGATGCATCATTCCCCCCCTATGCCTTACGCCCCCCTATCGCTGCCCCTGAACACCTGGGGACACGAAAAGACGCCGATGCCCAAATATCTCCGACGATGGGATTTTTTCATTCCCGGCGCTTTTCTGGCCTCAGGAGGCCGCTTCCCGGCACAGAGCCATGAGAAATGGATCCGGGGCTAAAAACTTGGCCCAGGGAAATGGTCGGGATTTCTTGGGCCACACGTTGAAAAAAACACAAAACACGACAGAGAGTGTTGGCTCAGTTTCGGCCTCTGGGGGCCCTCACCGAGCCCCGGGGCCGTCGAAAAAACGACTCGGGAAAAAAAGGCAGGCTCTGGGGAAGGGGTAGGACCTCTGGGGATCGAGGGATCGGCGGCGTTAGAGAGAGAGAGAGAGAGACACGTCTTCTGGGAGGCCTTCGCAAGAACGATCCAACAACTGCTAAGCATGATCAAGGTGCCATTGCGCCAGACTGGGCCAAACTAAGCCCAGGACCGAGCCCAAGTAGGCGCCGATGCAAAGGCCGTGCCACCAACAGCCGCGACGCAGAAGGAACGAAGGGGAGATCCTGGGCCAGTCGGGCCTCGGCCACCACGAGTCGGTTGCCTGGCCGGGATCCGAGGAACGGCCCGAAAATCAGAGCTCCCCCTGAACCAACTCTAGAGCACAGAACAGAAAATCCATCCCCATAGCAATCATCCCGACAAGCGGAGCCGTGTAGTAAACGCGCCTACAGCAGGAATCGGACAGGGCGGGGCTGTTTAGTAGACGCCTGGGGCCGTTTAGTGAACGCCAGTTGTTGCGTCCAGGTGGTGTTTCCTCCCTTGAAACTCCTTTCAGCTTCTTAGCTGCGCCCTTGCCACCTACAAGTGTCCTTGGAGGCTGCCGATATCCTGAACAGTAGAGAGATACCGTGAGAGAAAGCTTGCCAGAACAAACAGTTGGGCACGTTCGTCGTCGATCTCTGGGGAAAGAACATGGCATGCAAGCAAAGAAGAACTCGACGGGGGAAGAAGGGGGGGGGGAGGGCATTTCCGCGACGCGCGAGGCGCGATACCCTTCGGGCGGGGCCGCAGGTGACCCGGGAATCTCCAGCGTGTTGAAAAACCAAGGCGGGAGGTTTGACGCAACTTTCAGTCCCTGGGGGCCCCCGCCAGGCCCCAGGACCATCGAAAAACCACTGACTCGGAAAAAAAAACCCGAAAGGTTTGGGACTTCCAAGGCCGCCGTATAGAGAATAACGACCCTTCCGATGCTTGGGTACCGGCACTGCGACTCCCCGGACCTCCTCTTGCCTAACTAAAGGGCGGTGAAACTCCCGGGACCTCCTCCTCCTCCTCCTCCTCCTCCTCCTCCTCCTCCTCCTCCTCCCCTTCCTCGTCTTCCTCCTCCCCCTCTTCCTGTTCCTCCTCCTCCTCCTCCTCCTCCTCCTCCTCCTCCTCCTCCTATTCCTCCTCCTCCTCCTCCTCCTCCTCCTACTCCTCCTCCTCCTCCTCCTCCTTTTCCTTCTCCTCCTCTTCCTCTTCCTCCTCCTCTCCTCCTCCTCTTCCTCCTCCTCCTCCTCCTCCTCCTCCTCCTCTCCCAGGGCTCCTTCTGACCAGTGCCCCGCGGCGAAGCTGGCCGCGGCGGCGAGGGAAGGGCACGGGGAAGCTGGAAAGGCCCAAGAGAAGGTGATAGTGGACGTTACTCTGGACGGAACAATACTCGCCCCCCACCCCTCCTCCTCCCCCTCGTACTCCCTCCTACTCCTACTCCTCCTCCTCCTCCTCCTCCTCACTCCTCCTCCTCCTCCTCCTCCTCCTCTTCCTCCTCCTCCTCCTCCTCCTCCTCCTCCTCCTCCTCCTCCAACTTCTCCTCTTCCTCATCCTTCTCCTCCTCCTTCTCCTCCTCTTCCTTCCTCCTCCTGTGTCTGCCCCGAGGATGTCGAGCGCCTCGCCCCGATGGGACAATACGGTGATGGCATTGGATAAGGAAACCTTCGATAAGGAATCCAGGGTCCGGAAGCCCGTGGGACCCCAATCGAGGCTTGGCCGTGAATATCACCGCCGCCCTCATCACATAAGGAATCCTCCAGGGTCTGGCGCCTCCTGGGCGCATTCCTTTACCAACGCCCCAACCGTACTCGACCCCCCCCTGAATCCGCTGGGGGGGTTGGACACTTGCTGTCGGCACGGGTGGAGGGGAGGTTGGAGGAAGAGAAGGAGGACGAGGAGGGTGAGGAGGACGGAGGGGGCGGGATTGGGCAACCTCAGTTGGGAGGTTAATCCCCCCCCCTTGACAAATACCCCGTCCAACATATGTTGCATCCTCGGGGGACCTTCTCCGTCTCCTCTCGGCCCTGTCCGCGTCGAATCCGTGTCGAATCCGTCTCGGGTCCGTGTCGAATCCGTGTCGAATCCGCGTCGGGTCCACGCCAAATCCGCGTCGAGTCCGCATCGAGTCCGCGGCGGGCATAAGTAAAGGCACCAATCTCGGGAACAGGCGAGGTCCCCCGAAGATGCAACGTAAAAAATGGTGGTGGACGGGGCCGGAAAGCACTTGTGAAGTGGCAGCGGTGGCGGCACACCTCAGGAGCTCGACCAGCAGAAACCTCCCACGAGAGACCCAACCCTGAATCCTAGGACGTCCACTGATTTTTGTGTGGGAGCGTCACGCTTCCCACAGCAGAATCACCGAAACCCAAGAAACCCAGGGCACCCTGGGTGCAAGCAGGGCGCTGCTTGGCAGGGGCCCCCACTGTGCTCAGATGCCCCGCGGCTCTCCAGCGCTCCCGAAGCCACCTCCGGCGGGGGGTGGATGCGCGCCCCCCGCGGGCGCCCGACGATGGGGCCCCTGGAGGCCGAAGCTCGGGGACAAACAACAGGATTGGAGAAAACTCCTCCTCCTCCTCCTCCTCCTCCTCCTCCTCCTCCTCCTCCTCCCCCTCCTCCTCCTCCTCCTCACACCGTCGCTGGTCTGGGGACATCCGATGTCAATGCTGGGTCCCCGGAATGCCCTGCCTCGGGAGGCAACTGCTGGGAGGTCGTCGGAAAGACTCAGGAAGATTAACAACTGGGCGGTGGACGAACCTCCCTTTAGTCAACAAACCTTTCGTGAAAATGGCCGAGGACCGAAACCGACGGACCTGGACCCGCAAAATGACGGCCGCGACGCCAAAACGGCCAATTCGCTAATCGACGTGTCAGGGTAGGAGGTCTATCAACCTCCGAAAAAGCCCCTCGGGTGGCAAGACGGACTTCGGACAAGGGCAAAGCCAGAGTTCGACCTCCCAGGAATTGCACATCCGAACCTGCCCTTTCTCCGGGGCCCGCTTCTCGTCCTGAGTGGCGCCTCACGGCCTCGGGGCCTGGCGAGGGCCCCCAAAGGCCGAGCCTCGAATTCGTCGAGACGTTGGATGTCTGTGCATCTTCCCCTCCTCGTGAGCACCAGGCCGCAGTCTGTCACCAGCAAGCTGTGGTCCCCCCCGCACGCCGCCATCGCCACGCGCTGCAGGATCGGCACGGCCGTGGGGACCCCCTGGAACAGCTCCGCCGGGGAGCCCCTGCCCAGCTGGCCCGAGGTGGCCGCCCCCCAGGTGTGCGCCTGGCGGGAGGGGCACGAGCACGGCACAACCAACGGGCAGTTCTCCGAGGTCTGCGCGCCATTCCTGGACACCCCCCCGTCGGGTCGTGAACCAAAGGGTGACGGAAGGGATCCGTAGAGGCCTCCTACATTGGGCCCGAGCAGATGGGGTCGGCGGACTGCGCCGCATCGCGGGTGCATCGCCGATGCATCGGCGAAGCATCGGCGGTGCATCCGCGACGCCGGCGAGGCATCGGCGACGTCGGCGTGGGAAAAAAAAGGGCTCGACATCGAGCCGCATCGCCGAGGCATCGGCGATGCATCGGCGATGCGGTGCTCTCCTCCGGCCCCATCACTCGGAGCCCAGCTAGGAGGCCTAGGTGTTGGCAGTGTTCGGCCTATAGGGGATCTCAACGAGGCCCGGGACCATCAAACAAGAACTCGGGAGGGAGAGCCGACCCCCCGAAGGGACTCGGACCTCTTGGGGTGCACGTCAGCACGTGCACTCGGCCTGTTTTCTCCCCAGCCCCCAGCGCAGCCAGTTCGTCTGAACTGGCTCATTGTTCCCAGCCCCCAGCATGAACGGCTCATGTCCCCAACCCCGAAAACACGAACGGTTCCTTTCCTCAACCCCGATGAAAATAAAGGCTTCGCGTTGTCCATCACAGGACATAAGCTCAACGGCCTGTTCGTTGTTCCATCCCGACCCCGAAACATGAACGGTGAATTGTTTCAAACCTCTGGAGAAAAAGTGTTCATGTTCCCATCCGCAGACATGAATCGTTGCGTCCCGAATGGGGTTAGCATATCCCTACTTCCCGGTTCATGTTTTAGGGGGTTGAGAACATGAACCGTTTAAACTGTTCAGCCGTAGCGTAAATGAGCATACCTCGAAATCCCGCTTCGTCGTTACGGGGAGAGAACGTGAACCGTCGATTATTATGCGGCTGCAGCGGGAGTTAGCAGTGCTCCTGACTCCTGATTTATTTTCTGTGGCCATAGCAGGAACGAACGGTTCAATTTTCATGGGGTTGGGGAAATCAGCCGTTCATTGACGGGGGGAGAAACTATCATTTTGGATGGTGAGGGAGAGGGAATGAACTCTTCTTTACGAACGAAGCAGAAATCAACTCCTGATACTCCGATCTAGTGAAAGACACCTTGCAAAGGGTCGCCTATCCACTCTGCTAATATACGCATACAGCTTCGCAACAACAACAACAACAAACATCCAGATAACAAATACAACACAAAAACAAAACGGCAAAACTATGTCGGGGATCTGGCAACGGCACAAACAGAGGCTCCTAGATGGGGTCCGAGTACATAGGGTCAAAGGATCGCATCGCATCGCCGGTACAGCGATGCATCGGCGACGTCGGCGATGCATCGGCGACGTCGGCGCGAAGCAAATCGGGCGCCGCGTAGAGCCGCATCGGCGATGCATTGGCGATGCGGCACGATCCTCCGATCCCGTCTACTCCGACCCCATCTAGGAGGCCTAGAGTTCAGTCGGGCGTGTCCCCCTACAGGGGGATGTTCAACGAAAAATAAAAAGTATGCCAACAATACTCCACAATGGTCCCCCAAAATACTCAAAAAACAGTCCCCTGACTATTTTTGGGTTATTTTTGAACATTCCCCCTGTAGAGGGACAGAAAATGGTCGAACAAATTCTCAAAAAAATGGTCCCCTGGCTATTTTTGACTATTTCTGAACATTCTGCCTGTCGAGGGGACAGGCACGACGTAAGCCGAAAGCAAACACCACTGCTCGGAGGCCCGCGCCGCTCTCTCTCTCTGGGCCAGCGGACAGGCGCCCGTCCCCCCCCGCGCGCGCGCGCGAGGCGCGCGCCGAGCCCAGGACCTCCGACGCTGCGCCGCTGCTGTCCGATCCGCAACCCCAGGGTTAGGTCGGGCCTGCCCCCCTACAGAGGGGGATTTTGGGCGAAAAACTCAGATTCAAAAAATATGCCCAAACATAGTTTCGTTTATATATGTGTGTAAATATATAGATATATAAGTAGAAGATCATCATACGATTGTTTTACTAGTTCGAATGTTCCTCCTGTAGAGGGGCAGGCCCGACATAACCCCAGAGCAGCTGCCGGCCCCTGCCCCCGGAGGCAGTTTCGCGCCCCGGGCCCATGGCTGGTGGGTCGACATCACACGCCTGTATCGTCCAAGGACTGGGCCCATGGTTCGTTCACTCACAAGCCATACGCCGTGTGGCGCGTGGGAGGGATCATAGTCTCAAGCAACGACGCGAAAATCAGGGTGAAACGCAGCGCCCGCTAACTGGATCAAGAAAAGGAGGAGGAAGAGGAGGAGGAGGAGGAGGAGGAGGGGGAGGAAGAGGAGGGGGAGGAAGAGGAGGGGGAGGAAGAGGAGGAGGGGGAGGAAGAGGAGGAGGAGGTGGAGGAAAGAAAGAAAGAAAGAACAGCCATAAGGACAAGTCACATGACTACACGAGAAAACAAAACAAGTTAGGGCAAGGCGGGAGGCGTGGGCGTTCCTCGCCTGGCCTCCTCCTTAGCCTTGACCCTCTCGAGGAGCGCCTTCAGGCGGCTCTCGTACGTCGGGACCTGCGCTGGCGGATCCTGCGGCGCCGCTGGGTCTTCCTGCGGTGCCGACGTCGCCGCCGCCGCAGCCGCCGTCAAACACACACGTGTGACTACTCGAGCCTCTGCTCGAGTAGTGGCCTGGATGTCTACTTGACTGAACGGGATCACTCGGTCAATGACGGACCGCAAACGAGGATTGGGTCCGAGCCCTTTCCTGAAGGCCTGTAAAATCTCAATACCTTTTCTGGTGGGGGGAAGGCACACTCTGCCCAACTTGGCCCCGCGGCCTTGGGACCAACCCCCACACAGAACACACAGAAACTGTTGAACCGCTCGCCTCGTGGGGATCCCAGGGATCTGAGCGCCACCTCCAACGACAGAACCCTGGACAGCAACAACCTGGTGACCCTTGGCATCCCCTATCAACTTACGCAAGAATGCAGGGGTGCCCTTGCAGCCATCCATTGGCGTCGAGTCCCCAGGAGGCGCCACAATCAAACACTGCTTGCACTGGTGGCCCACCAGAGTTGAGGCCCACTCGTGAAAACTGCTGCACCGCTTATCCTGGGGTCGCCTGCTTCTAGTGGGCCTGGACCACCTCCTGTCATTCTGAAAGCACGGAAGCACAGCTGCAGCTAGTTTGATGAATCTGAGAGCTTTGACCTCAGCCTCTTCGACCTTGTCTAGGAAACTGGGGTCGGGGCGAGCGTGCATCGTCAGGGCTATCTTGGCATGAGCATATGCTGCCTTGTTCGCCTGAGCATACCTCAACTCGTCGCCCTGCAAAACTGAGATGGCCTCATCCGACCTGTGAGCTTTCACATGCCGCGTAAGAGTTATATTGGCTGTGCCTGGGAGTGACTGAGCAAACAAACGCACAGCAGCATACTTATTAGAGGACCTTGTCTGAGCCTCGAGAGACCTCTGAGCAGTAGTAACAACGGCGAGGCAGTCTAGCCCTACATGGGTCTCTCTGTCTGAAACTTGCCCAGCTAATGCATAGGCTAGGTGCTCCGCGAAAGCAGGGGTCTGGGGGAGGGAGCCGGCCACGGGGCCTCGAAGTACCGCCATGACATCTTCGCTCTCAGGCCGCAAAAGCGCAATGGCCCAAGCCGCCCTCCGAAGACATCTCAACGCTTGCTTCGTACATGACCCGTCTGCGGCTAACTCCATTAATTGATGCTCCCCCAGAAGCTGTCCCACCTGCTCAGGAGTCTGAGGGATCTCTTCGCCATTACCCCCCACAACACAACAATCACTCGACGCACACGGGGGGGGGACCTCACTGGGATCAAAGACGAAGAGCCCTCTGGTATAAATCGGATCGGTGCTCTCGCATCCTTCCAAAATAAAAGACTCTGGGATCTCGGCAGCTTCTCTTGCCTCTCTGACCTCAGGCAAATCAGAGGAGAAAGAGAAAGAGGAGAGGAGGAAGAGCAGGAGAGGAGGAGGAATAGGAGGATTTTATAACATCAACAACTGCCAAGCCGTACTCTCTGGGGGGACGGCGCCTCCCCCCAGAGGAGGGGCTGGTCTGGGTGGCGCCTCATGCCACTTACGCCACCAGCCCTGCCCCGCCGCTGACGTCACGGCAACTGCGGGGGGACTCACGCCGAACGGCTGCCAGTCCCGCAGCGCCGTGGAAACAGCGGCGCCCCCCCGCCCCGCCCACATTGGGGGGAGCGGGGGGAAAAACATCTCAGCCTGCTGCGTACGCTCCACGCCGATGGCAGAGCGAGGCAACCCAGTTGGGCCGCAACACGACGCCAAAAGGGCTGGATGCTCCTCGAACCCCGCAGAGGGGACGAGACAAAACTAAAACACAACCCTTAAAGGGAAGGCGCTCTGACACCAATGATTTCGAACAATCCGAATCAAAAGTTGGGGACGGGCAAAGAGGACGAGGGCGCAAGGGCGGAAATCGCCCCTGCTGGCAACTCTTCGGGTCGGCCTACACCCAAGTTCTTCCTTGGGTGGCGGCCTAGCATGACTTTGTTAAAATTCGTGCGGCCATGGCCGCGCAACTCATTAGGACATTCCTTTGACAAAGCGGTCTTGACAAACACAGCTTGATGCATAAATCCCCCGCACTTGGGGCAGAAATAAAAATCAGAACCATCCGTGCACGGCAGGATCACAACGCTGTGCGAAAGAGAATCAGCGATGTCCAGATCTGCTCTGGCTTCGCCGATGCACGATCCACCAGGCGGCTTGACACAAGAACGAGAGCCTAACCTGCACACAACGCACCTCCACACAGAGTGTTGCCACTGCCACTGATGCTGGACCACGGGCTCCTCGGGACCTCGGGTGGTGCGGCAAGGAGTGACAAGCGGAGCACCCTCCAGCTTTGTCGGCGAAATCGTTACCAAACCTACGGATTCTCTCATCATCCGAAATGCCTGCCTCGTCCTTGTCCTGGTGGGCTTAAACTTTCACCACTGACTGGACAAACGGGGCATTATTGATATACAGGAACTGGCCAGCATAGCGCCTCCTGTACGAAACACGTTCGCTGGGGGGCAGGCGGAAATGATTAACTACCGCAAGGCAGTCAGAAAAAACCTCAGAATTGGCAACTACATGGAGAGCGGCCATGGCGAGGGCACAATACTCCCCAGCTGGTGCTGTCTGGCTGATCGGGTGGTGCACAGGGCCATGCAGGGCGCACAAGAGGGAGCCCTGGGGGGAGACCATGCAAACCCCCCAGCCCGCCCTTGAAAGTTCTGGGATGGGATGCCAAAAACAACTCCCATCAACATAGGTACTGCCCTGCAGGTCCCCATTAGCGAGCGCCTCCGAGAAGTCCTCTTCCTCAGTAGTTGGCAGGATGGCCCCACCCCCCGAGCTTAGGGCCCTTGGCCAGAACGATTCTGGATGCTCAAAGATCCCCCGATCGAAAAGGATGCGATCCCCATCCGACAGCGGACCCAGGGCAATCTCAAGGATCTCTGGAGGAATAAGCTCGCTGCGAGTCTCAGACACCGCTGGGCACTCATAAAGCCTGTGATGCACAGAGTCTGGATGAGCACGACATAGTGGGCAGAGCAACTGCTCGTCACTGAGCTGGTAGCCCACCTCAGCGGCTCTGTCGGCTGTCCAGGCTCCACCGCAGCACAGGTTCCTGATCGAACCCTTCTCCAGAGTAGAATATTTCTTCGAACGAAGCTGGCTCTTGCAGATGTCGAAACAAGCCCGATCCCACCCAACATCCAAACTCCTTCCCACATGCATTTCCAGGTCCCTAACCACCGCCCGCCTGAGGATGTCCTTCAAGAGGGTTGGGCTGACAAAGGTGAGAGAGACTGGTGTGCCGTCATGCATGGCGAGAGTGGCGTAGTTGGGCATGGACCAACCGATGCGCTTGACAGACAAGAAGAGGGCAGAAATCGGGCCAGCGACAGATCGCCATGTCTT